TGCTTCTATTGTCCTCATTTGTAAGTCGCTTTGGATAAAAGTGTCTGCTAAATGACTAAATGTAAAGAGGCAAATAGACACAGGAACTGCTCATCATACCAAGTTTCAAGCATAGTTCAAATAAATACAGGCTAGACAGAAAGATTAAAGTTTTTTTTTTTTTAGGATGAAGACAGATAGTGACAAAAGAGATGAGTTTTCAGCTGTTGCTTGAAAAATTGTCAGGGATTCAGCATTCCGGATAGGGGTGGGAAGATCATTTCACCAGCCAGGAACGGTGAACGAGAACGTTCTGGAAAGTGATTTTGTATACGACTGATAACCAATGGTTTTTTAGCTAGGGGGATCATTATTTGACATTACAATATTACAACCTTGACAAGTTTTAATCTTTTAATGTCTTTATAAAATCAATAAACTCAACAGGACAAATATTCATGTTACATTTTTGGGTAACTACTAGGCTATACTTATGTCAAAAGTTTGGTGGTGTGATTAGGTTCAAGAGCTGATTAAAGTGTAGAGGTAGGGTCGACATTGTAATTATAGATAACTACAGAAATCAGTTACAGATGTAATTTTACATGCAGGTCTTTTTTTAAATATTAGTACAATAAAAACCTGTCTACACAAAATAAGTACATTGTATCTATTGTTTAAATTAAATGTGAGTACATAGAAGTTAAATACTCTTAATATAAAGTGATTCCCATTTTTGTGACAGAATCCAGCTCTTAACCAGAAATTAACCCTGTGTCAACCAGCGACAAAATGCCAGGCGTCTTCTTCAAGCTGGCTTCCCTCTTTACGATACAAACTCCTATACGTATTATTTCTTTACCTCTTTTCCCATTTTCTCTTCCATTTGCCATAGCCACTTTCTTTTTTTTTCACTTGCTCATTCTCTTTGGCCGGCTCTAATCTTGTTAGACAGAGAACAGCTCTTTTAGTGATTAGGGTTGGTCATCCGGTGAATTTTATTGGCTGGCAAATGGTGTGTATCGTATACATTTATCAGGAACAATTGGTCTGGCTAAGAGGGCTGCTCGCCTCACCTGACAGCAGGAAGAGAGAGAGAGAGAGAGAGAGAGAGAGGGAGAGAGAGAGAGAGAGAGAGAGAGAGAGAGAGAGATTGCTCT